CAAACTACACTACAAGGCTACAGTAATCAGAACAGCATAGTACTGGTACCAAAACAGAGATATAGAATAATGGAACAGAACAGAGGCCTCAGAAATAATGCCACACATCTGCAACCATCTGATCTTTGAAACCTGACAAAAACAAGCAATGGGGAAAGCATTCCCTACTTAATAAATGGTGCTTGGAAAACTGACTAGCCATATGCAGAAAGCTGAAACTGGATCCCTTCCTTACACCTTATACAAAAATTAACTCCAGATGGATTAAAGATTTAAACGTAAGACCTAACACCATAAAAACCCTAGAAGAAAACCTAGGCAATGCCATTCAGGACATAGGCATGGGCAAGGACTTCATGACTAAAACACCAAAAGCAATGTCAACAAAAGCCAAAATAGACAAATGAGATCTAATTAAACTTAAGAGCTTCTGCACAGAAAAAGAAACTATCATTAGAGTGAACCAGCAATCAACAGAATAAAAAATTTTTTGCAATCTACCTATCTGACAAAGGGCTAGTATGTAGAATCTATAAAGAACTGACAGATTTACAAGAAAAAAACAAAAAAACCCATCAAAATGTGGGTGAAGGATAAGAACATACATTTTTCAAAAGAAGACATTTATGCAAACAACAAACATATGAAAAAAAGCTCATCATCACTCGTCATTAGAGAAATGCAATCAAAACCACATTGAGATACTATCTCATGTCAGTTAGAATGACAATCATTAAAAAAAATCAGGAGACAACAAATGCTGGAGAGGATGTGGAGACATAGGAACACTTTTACACTGTTGGTGGGAGTGTAAACTAGTTCAACCATTGTGGAAGACAGTGTAGTGATTCCTCAAGAATCTAGAAATAGAAATACCATTTGACCCAGCAATCCCCTTACTGGTTATATACCCAAAGGATTATAAATCATTATTTTATAAAGACACGTGCACACATATGTTTATTGCGGCACGGTTCACAATAGCAAAGACTTGGAACCAACCCAAATGTCCATCAATGACAGACTGGATAAAGAAAATGTGGCACATACACATTATGGAATACTACGCAGCCATAAAAGAGATGAGTTCATGTCCTTTGCAGGGACATGGATGAATCTGGAAACCATCATTCTCAGCAAACTGACATAAGAACAGAAAAGCAAACACTGCATATTTTCACTCATAAGTGGGTGTCGAACAATGAGAACACACATGGACAGGGAGGGGAACATCATACACCGGGGCCTGTCAGTGGGTGTGGGGCTAGAGGAGGGACAGCAGCGGGTAGAGGGATAGGGGAGGGATAGCATTAGGAGAAATACCTACTGTACATGACGGGGTGATGGATGCAGCAAACCACCAAGGCATGTGTATACCTGTGTAACAAACCTGCACGTTCTGCACATGTACCCCAGAACTTAAAGTATAATAAATTAAAATACATAAATAAATAATTAAAAAAAGAAAAGAAAAAAAGAAGTACTCAGGAAGGCTTTCTTTGGGAGTCTATATAGTTCACACATTTCTCTAGTTACTATAAAGCCCATACATTAATCAGAAAAAATGTATTATTTGGGCCTTTGCAGGGATAATTTTACTATATTGTGTTTTAGCCTTATGACCTAGAATTACATTTAAAAAGTTTTAAGAAGCTATCATGCATAACTTGCTATTGTCATAGTAGCTATTAGATATAGCTGTGGATAGTATTGACTACATTGCACAGCTTTCTCTTGAACAGGAACACAGGAAACATTGCTCTAAAATCTCAGTGCTAGAAAATGTGGAAACTTTCTGAGATACTAGCGTTAAGATCTGATGTTATGCACAAAGTAAAACTTACCATATTTTCCTTTGTTTTGGCCCAAGATAAGTATAGAACAGATTCTGTGGTACAGGTGGAATAAATGTACAGTACTCTATCACATGGATTTGGTACCTGTGCTGGATTATCTGTTGTCAGCGTGTTAGTCTTATCTTTGGCATTATCTTCCTTCATTTGTCCTTTTCCCTGATTTCTATATCTATTCTTTCTTAATCCCTTTGAATTGCCTGTATTTATATAAGTTTTTTGAAACCGATTCTGGAAAGAGTAAGTACATATACAAATTAATAAAACAGGGGAGATCTTTGCTGCCATTTATTTGTTTTTCCTTCAGAATGGTCTTATAGCCTTTCTCCTTTTCAGGGCCAATGGGCAGATGAATATACTTGTCTAGATTTTTTATTTCACTCCAACAGTTATCACACAGCAAAATGAGGCTAACCATTAAGGAATTTCCTTGCAACCAAGGTGATTTGACAATACATCTTTTTTCTAAAGGATCTTAGAATATTGAAGATAATCAAAACCACTCTTATTTCTCAATGTAATCATATGGGTTAGGATTTCCAGTTAGAAGACAGGTAGTGTTGCTGTGAAAAGTCAGGTGACCTGGCTTCTGATCCTGATCATGTGTTCAACCAGTTTGGTGACCACAGGTAAACCATATAATCTTTCTGGGTCTCAAGTTTCTTCAGAGGTTGCACAATACCAGCTTTTCCCAAAGAGTGGTTTGTGATACATGAAGGTGCCACAATATGCTAATTGTTGTTCCATGAATAAAAGGGGCAAATAAGTTTGGATAAAACTGGACTAAATAAAAATAAACCATTCCTTAATGGTGGCATTTATAAGAGCCTTTGTGATCCTTGCGTGAGGGAGAATGGAGTGCAAATATTATCCAAATTTGCATATTATGGGAGCATATCAATGGACAAATTCAAGTAATAATTAGATGCAAAATCTGACTTGTCCTCTCTCCCACTGTACCCCAACCTCTCATATGTTAACAGCTAGAACATATATACTGAATAATGCAAAAAGGTGTTTATAGGGTCTTCTGTAAGATGACAGGCTTAATCTACATTTAGAAAGATAAAGTTTCAGCTCATGGTAAATTAGGTAAATCATCAGATGAAATTACATATGTTGTCAAGCTCTAGATTCAGAACATAGAGTTAATTGTGTACCCTTGACATTTTTGCAACCCAGTATGGTTGAAGATACACCAATACACACACAGACACACATGCACAAACATACAAACAGAGCAAGAAAGCGTGAGCATTTGTGAACAACAGCACAAAGAAGCAAGAATCCTAAACTATATTTCTTGAAATAGCCTAAAAGGATAGCGGCTAATCTCTCCCTCATGTAAACTTTTGTGAAACTTGGCATATGTGACTCTTATAGACACAATAATATATGGCCTTGTACTGGAATGGAGTAAGAGAAAGAGCTTTGTAGTCATAAAGTCCTGGATGAGAATCTTAGCTGTTCTCATTTTTATATGTGTAACTCCTCAGTGAACTTCAGTTTTCTCACTTATGAGGATAAATCTATAATCTTGTAGCTTGTTTTAATGGTTAATTGGTAAGCATATATAAAGCAGCTAGCAGATTACTTGATACACAAAAGATACTCAACAAATTATTTTCTACCTTCCATTATGAAGAGTACTCAGAATACAGAGACTAGGGTTTGTCAGGCATAATATCTTGTATATATGTAAGAGATACTAATAAGAGTCTTAACATGAATAAACTTTGATTTCCAAACAATTAAATTTCACATATCTTTCAAGACATGACTCAAATATTACTTTTTCTGTTCACTGTCTGATTACCTCAGCTGTAAAAGATTTTTCCTTTGGCCTTGAACTCTCTAAGTATTTTGCTTTTATTTCTATGTCATTTAGCACATTTTTTCTTGATTTGCTATTACTCCTAGACAGGCTGTGTCTTCCCTCAAAAATGTAATGTCTTCTTATAGGCAGAAAACATTTTATTATCCTTTGTTTCCCTTGCAGTGCTCAGCACAGCTCTTCCTCAAAAAACATTTGTTTAACAAGTGAAAGTGGTGGCATCCTTTGACGGAGAGAAATAACAGAGTTTTCTTTAACCCCAATTAGGGTCCTTCAGACCTTTCTATTGCTTGTTAGATGGCTTCCTTTTTTTTTAAATAAGTGAATCTTGCCATTAATCCTATATCTAAAAAAAAAAGTTCTGAATGTTCTTTTTTATGAAGCCATCCTAGGAAGTCATTTGACCCCCATTCTGTTAGTGCCCACTGTACCTTAGGCATACCTCTATAATAACATTTACATATAGTATTATAATTTTATAAGACTAGGAACTCCTGGAGGGCAGGATCCAAGTCTGCACCACTGTTCCCTAACAGATTTGGGGTACATAGTACGTATCCAAAAAAATGTTTGCGAAATGAGTGAATGAAAAATCCTCTATATTGCTGTGGACATAACATGAACTCAAGGAGAAATATACATCTGTGAAGCTAAATGACTTTCCCATACTTAGGGGCTCAATGCAAGATGTTACTAAAGTAATTCACGGTATCTTTTGGTGGGTAAAGTGAAGCCTGTGGAAAAGAGAAGAGATACAATCTTTCTATTCTTAGAGTGAAACAATATCCAGGAAGGATGGGAAACATTTGTAAATAAATATTTGTTGGTAACAAAAGGGGAAGATTACAGAAAATCATGGATCTAGTACAAGATCAAGTTTTCTAAGAGTTCCATGCAACGGATCAGGAATGATTAAGGAAACATTAGGTCTTTCATACCAAAATGAGTCTAAGAAAAGGAGAGAGAAATAAGTTGTGAGAAATATTAACAGCTTTGCTGGATTCAGTGGCTCATGCCTGTAATCCAAACACTTTGGAAGGCCAAGGTGGGTGGATCACTTGAGGTCAGGTGATCAAGACCAGCCTGGCCAACATCGTGAAAACCTGTCTCTAATTAAAATACAAAAATCAGACATCCATGGTGGCATGCACCTGTAATCCCAGCTACTTGGGAGGATGCGGCGGGAGAATCACTTGAACCTGGGAGGCAGAGGTTACAGTGAGCCGAGATGGTGCCACTATACAGCTTTAGTATCAAATACAGTGGAAATATGGTCCAGCTTTTGAATAATTTTTCTTAAAATTATGCCCCACCTCACGTTCCTCTTCTTGTTCTTTGCGAATCTGCTCCAAACGAAACTGTTCTGCCATCTCTCTCTCATGAGCTTCTCTCTGTTGATAAAACAGAAAAGGAACAAACACTTAACACATACTTACTTACAAAGATAGAGAGAAATAAGGAAAGAGAAAAAAGAGGAAAGAAAGAAAAAGAAACAGTAAGTTACATTCAAAGACTCATTGTCAACATGACTCAGAGGTATATTGTGGTAATGGAAATGTTTCTTTCTAGAACAAGAATGGAAATTAAAGCAAAAATAAAGCATAGCTCTCTGATAATGTTAGGTTCCTATTCAAACACCTTTGATAGCTCTGGGTAAAGTGGCATTCAGAATCCTTCAGGACATCCTTTGGTGTGCCTCTCTGGCCTTTTCTATCTGTCCTGTACCCAAATCTAAAGCTCTATTTAATCAGCCTTTATCTATGCTCCATGTGTTCTGGACCCTTGATGCTAGTTTATATTGCTTCCTCTTCCCTCCTACTGCTGTTATTCTGTCCAGTTCACATATACCATCTCTTCTATGAAACATTCCTGGTATAGTCCCACTCCCTGGCTCTCAAAAAAAAAAAAAACCTGGAAAAAAATTTCCACTAAAACTGCTACTGAACTCTCACAGAACTCAGTGTTTCTCTTATGACACTTAGGATTCCTGCCTTATGTTACAGCTACCTGTGTTCTTTACTTAATCTACTCTACCACACGGTAAGAATTCCTATGAGAGAAGAAACTGTGGCCTATTCATTTCTCTCTCCTTCAAAGCTCAACAAAGAGGTAGGTTTTATGAAGTATTCAATAAATCAATGGTTCCAAACCCTGACTGCACATCAGAATCACCTAAGGGGCTTTTAAAAAATTGTTGGGTTTTCTCATAGACCAACTAAAAGACAAATAAGATAGATATCAAGTTCATTTCTGTTTTCATTTTTCATGAAACAAACTTTATTTTGTCAAAATGAACCATGCTTTAATAAGCATGGATAGAATTATATTCTGTTTACTAAACCTAGCTTTCTCTATTGCAAACCCAGTATTTTTAGAGATCAAAGTGATAAAGAGTCAGTATTTAAATAATGAACAGTTGAGTTCTTTATCCCAGAAGTACTCGACCAAGCCTACCTTTGCTCTGTCAGCCTCAAGTGAAAGGCGATAGGCCTCATCTTGCTCTCTCTTCACATTTTCTCTGGCTTCACGTTCATCCTTAAAGAAAGAAAAAGATTCAAACAGGTTTTGCCATATTACTTAAAAAAAGAGAGAGAGAGAGAGAAACGAATGGTAATTCCCTTGTTTTACCCCTATATGGACTTAAAATTAAATAAGAGACTTTTAAAGTGTATAGAATATAAATAAGCAAACAGTAAGATGAGCAGCATTGTATATGGTAGAAATAAGCAGCATTGTATATGGTAGGATTCAGACATATACAATGTCTGAATCCTAGCTCTACCATTTACAAACTGTGTGACCTTGTATAAGTTATTTAACTTATCCACATCTCAGTTTCCTCACTTGTAAAACAGAAATAGTATTTGTCTTGTAGGGCCATTGTGAGAATTAAGTGCAATAATAAGAACGGTTTAGCAAAGGACCTGGCACTTAGTTCATTTTCATTATTAGTTCTCTTCTCCCTTTCTCCTGATTTTTCTGAGATAAACTTGGAGACTGTGAGTATTGAAACCAAGGACTAGGAGGGAGTGGAAAGACTAGGAAGTAATCCCTGGGTCAGTGTAGAAAAAGGCCGAAAGCAAAATACTCCGGTTAACGTCATTCCATACCATACCACACCACACCACTAAATGTCTGGTTACCAATTAAGTATTTCCACATTATATTCACACTCATGAAGTATGAATAACACAAGTTATCTAAGTTGAAAATCTCTTAGAATATTTTTAGCTTCTGAAATGATTATACCATCTGCCCATATTTAAATCATGAATTCATTTAAAATTAAAAGTTAATTCATGAACTGAATTTCTCATTTGTTATATTCAGAAGTATAGCCAATATACAAACACTTAACTTTAATAATAAACACCCACACCTGTCTATACTAGAGTGTAGGTTCCCTTTTTGGTCATTTATTTATTAGGCAGAACCATATAAAGCCACAAATACTTGTGACCTAAAAAGCTGGAAATTTTACACAGTTAACCTCATTTCTCACTTTTTGCCTCCCCAATATATGCTTATTCAAGGCTGAATATATACTCAGTATTCTCTTAGATGCCTTGATACCTAATCAAGACTAGCCTTATCCCTGAAGCCTAATACATCTTCTAGTTCAAATAATTCAACAAATTCCTAAAAGTTCTAGTATGAATAGTAACATTTCACTGCTTCCTAATCTTTCAAAAAAAATTAGGAAGAATTAGATGTTGCTGGCCTAAAGCTAATTGTCATTCTACAAAATATGAAAAAACATGTTAAACCTGAAAGGGTAATGTCTATGCTTTTAGTCATCTGTTAAAGAATTAAACTTCTTTTTTTTTTTTTTTTTTTTTTTTGAGAAGGAGTCTTGCTCTGTCACCCAGGCTGCAGGGCAGTGGTGTAATCTCCATTTACTGCAAGTTCAGCCTCCCAATTACAGGCACCTGCCACCACACCTGGCTAATTTTTGTATTTTTAGTAGAGATGGGGTTTCACCATGTTAACCAGGCTGGTCTCGAACTCCTGACCTGAAGTGATCTGCCCACCTTGGCCTTCCAAAGTGCTAGGATTACAGGTGTGAGCCACTGCGCCCAGCCAAAGATTAAATTCTGAAGGATCCAGTGCCTCTGTGGATAAGTCTATCTTTTCAAATTTAGATATCTCTTGAATGTAATCAATCAATTATGAGAGTAATCTTATCTTTCTATATTTTAAATGGGGGAAATGTGCAAGATGTTTAAAATTTTAATTTGACTTTACTTTCCTAACCTCACCCTTTCAAATGATTTAAAGTTTCTCACAACATTCTGTACTTTCCCTTTAAAGCACTTAGCACAATTATAATAATTATCACATAATTATTTATTTAATGTGAAACTACGCCATAAGACTGTAAACTACACAAAGTCAGAGAACTTTTCTATATTATATATCCCTGTATTTCACACACTGCTTAGTCTTTTGGAGGTGTTTAATAAGCATATGCTGAATAAATGAATTATCTTTTGAGGCATAAAATACTTATTGTCTACAGCAGAAATTACAAAAGAAAAACATACAGCTCATCTACAAATTGGTTGGCCCAATCTGAGTCTGACATTGACCGGCAGAGCAAGAATGACTTGTTATGCCACTATGTACATATAAGAAAGAGACCATCTAAAAGCAATCACAGCTGGAAGGCTTTTGATCACAAATATGGTTTATAATAAAAGCATTCTAAGTAAACAGCTCTATTGTAAAACAAACTGTAGCAGATATGAAAGGCCATCAGATACAGGGATCTCTGCAACAAAATGTGGCACCTGTTGTGTGTTCTTTCTCTTGCCCATGGCTCTCCCTGACCATCCTGACAGATGGGCTAGCTTGCACATGTGGCTCAGGATGAATTTTCCTAAATTTATCATGGTCATAGCTTCTTGTATGTTTGGTAGTTGTTGGTGAATAGTTATCATTTCTTCTTATCTGCTTCTCAGATTTTATACTTGCCTCTCCAACTGTACTCTTCAGAGTAATCTCCAATTCTGAGAAAGAGAAAATTACTTACGTGTTTCCCCTATATTATTCCATATTATTAGACTTTTTAGAAAATCCCAGGTATTGTGGTTAACACTTCATGTATAAATTTGTTCTCATAGCCTGTAGATGTACCTCTGGAACTTCTCTTGTGTCCTACAAATACTGTTCTTGCAGAGGTTCCTTTTTGCTAAATCTGAGAGGACACATCAAAGTAACTAGAAATTTCTACACATTAATTGGGTGGAGATGGAATGGCTAGATTATGAGATTCAGAAACAGGTTTTAAGTATTGTGCTACAGCTTAGGCTACTTGTTATTCAGACACTTCTCATCACACCAGAGTGAGAAGCTGGATTGCTTATAAGTAATAGCCCCAATAGGTAGTTTTCATTTGTAACATCCTTGTCACTGTTCTCATATTGCTCTGTGCTATACTCATTTGTGTATTTGTCTCATTGCTCCCTACCTGAGCTGTATGCTTCCAGTGGGGAATGACTCTATTTCAAATATGTCTTTGCATTTCCTGTAGCATAGAGTGTTCTGTCTTACATATGACAAGCATCTAATATATATATTTGCTGGACGAATAAATGCAATTATCAGTGCTCAACAGTTAAATACCAAAAATTCAGGAGCCTCTACGTATTCTTCAGTCTAGTAACTTCTATTTAAGTATATTTTCTATCCCAGGTATTATAATGAGTTAAGAAGTACCAGAATTATAATTTACTTATTTTTAGTTAAAAAAATCTTTGAGTACATAGTAGGTCTACATATTTGTGGGATATAGGAGATATTTTGATACAGGCATGCAATGGGTAATAATCACATCATGGATTAAAAGGGGGTATCTATCCCCTCAAACACTTATCCTTTGTGTTAAAAACAATCCATTTATAATCTTCGAGTTATTTTTAAATGTAAAATTATTTTGACTACAGTCACCCTGTTGTGCCATCAAAGACCAGCATTATTCACTCTTACCATATTTTTTGTACCCGTTAACCACTCTGGCTTCCCCCATATCCCACTACCCTTCCTAGCCTCTGCTAATCATCCTTATACTATCTATTTCCATGTGTTTAATTGTTTTGATTTTTACATCCTACAAACAAGTGAGAACATGTGATGTCTGTAGTTCTGTGTCTGGCTTATTTCACTTAACATAATGGCCTCCAGTTAAGTCCATGTTGTTGCAAATCACAGGATCAAAATTCTTTTTTATTGCTGAATAGTACTCTTATGTGTATGTACCATATTTTCTTTTATCCATTTGCCTGCTGATGGACATTTAGGTTGCTTTCAAATCTTGGCTACTGTGATCAATGCTGCAACAAAAATGTTAGTACAGGTATCTCTTTGATATACTGATTTCCCTTCTTTTGGGTATACACCAGCAGCGGAATTGCTGGACCATATGGTAACTCTATATTTTAGTTTTTAAAGGAACCTTCACACTGTTCTCCCTAGTGCTGTACTAATTTACATTCCCACTAACAGTGTATAAGGGCTCCCTTTTCTCCACATCCTCTCCAGCATGTTACTCCCTGTCTTTGGGATAAAAGCCATTTTAACTGATACCTCACTGTAGTTTTGATTTGTATCAGAACTAGAATTTAAACATAGTCATTCTCACCATAAAGCCTGTTTCTTCCCCACTGCCAACTAAGTGGTCCGGCATAGTCCTATATCTCTGAGACAACAGCCATTGAGTTTTGCTACAGTTTACTGAAAATAATGTCTATTAAAAATAAAAATATTTTATTAGTTGCCAAATGGTTCCAAAAGGAATAATTTAGCAAAAAAATGAAATTTAGATGTAATTTATTACACTCTCATTAGTGTTAAAGATTAGTAATCATCAGTTAATTCCTAAAAGACTAATTCAAAATTCCAAATTATTAAACTGAAGTGGCTATAGACTTTTTCAAATACTTAACATATGCATAAACACACAGAATATTTATTGTTTTTTTCTGAATGCCTAGGTTAGAATCCATACTCTGCTCCTTGCTATACTAATAGGTTTTTGTCAACAGAGACATGGCCCTGCTATATATCTCTAGAGATACAGATCAAGATAACCTGAAGTTCTCTCAGTATAAATACTTAGAGATAGTAGGTAGGTGAAATATAACAAATATGTTCAAAAGTATTACTAAGCATGTCAGAAAAAGAAACCCAAAGAAACAAAGAAAAATAAGTTTCTGGGTATCAGAAATAAAGAGGAAACTGAAAATCAGAGATGTAAATGATGAAGTAATTAAGAGCCTGACAAGATAGGTTATCCATTCTGATAACCTAGAAGCTCAGTTGTGATCAGAGATCTCATTTTGGACTTAAGCAAGGTGAGGAGGTATAAAAGTTATCTCTGGGGACAGGGTGCAGTGGCTCACACCTGTAATCCCAACACTTGGGAGACCAAGGTGGGTGGATCACCTGAAGTCAGGAGTTTGAGACAAGCCTGACCAACATGGTGAAACATGTTAACTAAATACAAAAAAATAGCCAGGCATGGTGGTGCATGCCTG